CTTTGTCCACAACGATCACACACAAATGGTTTCTCTCCTGTGTGGATTCTCATGTGGGAGTTTAAAGCTGACTTTCTTCCAAACTTTAATTCACAGAAGTCACACACAAATGGTTTCTCTCCTGTGTGGATTCTYAAGTGTGTGTTTAAAGTTGACTTGTATTCAAACCTTAATTCACAAAAATCACACACCAATGGTTTCTCTCCTGTGTGGATTTTCATGTGCGTATTTCTCTGAGATTCTTTGTGAAATGTTTTACCGCACTCATCACAATGAAAAGGTTTCTGTTTTGACTGGAATGTCTTGCTTGAACCTCCAGTTTTATTCACTCTGAAACATTTCTGTTTAATCAAACAACTTGTAGACATTCCTGATTGAGGAGACTTGCTCTCTTTCCAGTCTTTGTCATTGTCTTCAGGTTCTGATCCAGAGTCCGATAAGTTTTTCAACTGAAAGTCAGGATCCATCATATCCTCATAATTTTTATCATCCTCACTGACTTCAGTTTCTGAAGAGCTGAAATCATCTTCATGAGTATTTAGACATAGGTTCCTGCTAGTTTCTGCTTCTCCACAGTCCTCTCCACTAGTTGCTGCTTTCGTCTGGTCAGCAGAGCTACTAGTTGGAAGAGGTCCATCTTCCATTTCATCATCTTCACTCTTCAAAAGAACCACAGTCAAATCCAACCCAGTGTCATAAGTCTCCTGTTTCACATAAAGCTGCTCTCTCTCTAGACTGGCCTGAGGTTCTTCTTCCTCCTCTTTTATGTTGAGGGTATTTGGGTCAGGCTGGTCCACACCAGGCCAACATATGTCAGGAGCCTCTTCTTTAATCAGCACCGTCTGATGAACACCTGCGAGGAAGATAAACACATGAACATTAAGGAAAGTTAAGGGTGATTCACAATTTTCAACATGTTCACAAGCATACAAAGATATTTTTAGACTCCCACCAAATAGAAGTGAGTGGTTAGGGGAGCTGTCTTCCAATGTGAAAGTTGGAAGAATGTGTATAAATGTGACCTAAAGCAGTGGTTCCCAAACTTTTTGTCTTCCGACCCACAAAATATCCATGGCAAAAACTTGTGACCCCAAATATTACTGGTCTGAGTACATGAACTTC